TATTACCAACTACCTTTTGCGGCCTTTTGGCTGCTATATGTTTAACTGTTGCAACTTGGTTGATTTTTTCTCTTCTTTTTTGGGTGTGTATTTTGATGTTCAAATATGATATTTACAGGTACTCGACTCAGTTAGCAGTGAAGCTGATGTTGGATATTTTCGACTGCAAAATGATTTCTGCAGCATGGGGGAAGATTATCTTCTTGGTAGGCATTTTTTTCCTTGTTTTCAATTAATTTCATAATGGTTTACCAACCTGAAGTACCTTACTCTACTGCCACCTCTTTACCCTTCCCGAAAAAAAAAATAAAAATTAATGAATAAATCTAAAAAGGTTATACAGGTGTTGGATTTTCTGAATGTATGACAAACCTGGATTATGGTCCAAGTGAAGGCTTGCTGACTTCAGTTTCAGACAGTTCAATTTTAGCCTCAACTGCAAGTCCTTGGAAAGCGGATCTATTTAGAATTAACATTGACACCTCCGATTTTGGTGAAGTTCCTACTCTTTGCAACGAATCCGAAACGCCGACTGATGAAAAATCTCCAAAGTCCCCCGAATCATCCACTTCACAGGATACTGACAAGTTCCAAAATGTTTCAAGCAATTCTCAAGAAATGTCACCGGATAAGAAAGATGCGTTCATTTCACCTTCAGTTGAGCCTTCTCTCTACCTGAAGAACAAAAAAGATGATGAATTCGACCCCACGGGCCCAAATGTCGAGCGAAAAAAATCAGAAATAATTTTAACTCAAGCAGACTGCACTGCTGGTCGTACTACGCAGAAGAGAATGCGTAGGCCCACGCAAAGGTACATTGACGAACTCACTGACCCAATTCCGAGAGTTCCCAAGAGAAGGCGGGAAGTTTCATATTCAATCGGGAAGGATAATAAGTCTGTCGTGATTAAGGACAATAGGAAATGCCGTGGGGGATCTAAAGCTTTGGCATTTGCTGCTGAAGAGGAGTCATCTGTTGTAGCGATTCAGGTGCCGTTTGGCTCTTTGGTGCATAAAGAGTGTCCAAAGAGTCCTTCATGTGATAATATGGTGAGTTTTTAACTTTTTATAGGTCGATGCATTTGGATTATCGCTCGGTTATACGGTTTTCTTGCTGACTTGGTTTTATATGAACTCGCTTTTCCTCCTATTTCTATTTCTAACGAATACTGTAAATTTTGAAATCTGGACGAGGGAAAAGAGATTATTTTCGTGCTCGAAATATAATTGTTTGTAACGCTCGTTCTCTTTTGTGATTACAAATTATAAAAATAGAATATTTTTTTGATGCCAGAATAAGGAAATTGTTACGTGGCATAAACAAGTGCGTAGTGCGGACAGAGGACATCCGAGCCTCAAATCAAAAGATAATCGTGTTACGCCAGAAAATAAGAAAAGAAGGGATGATGAATGTGTTGTTGCAGCGTATCATCCTGTGAAAATTGATCGGTGTCCTATTACTTCAAAAACTCAAGTTAAGAAAAGGGAGGAATGTATGACTTCACAAAATCCGAAGATAGATGACTTTGTCGAGGCAATGAGTCCCAAGAAGGATAACTGTATGAAAGCGGATAATAAAATTAGAAGAGAAGATTATCTGACTGAAGAAAGCTCTGAGGAAGTTAGCGGACGTCGAAAGCATCACAGATTATGGACTATTGCAGAAGTTAAAAAATTAATCGATGGTGTGTCTGAATATGGAGTCGGGAGATGGAGCCGAATAAAGAAGCTTTCGTTTTCTGCATCGGCCCATCGAACCTCTGTGGATCTCAAGGTTTTGCTCGTCTATTCCTTTTCTCTTTATTTATTTATTCAAAATAAAAACGTGTTCTGATTATTTTTTTTTTCCGGAATAACATATATTCTTGTTTTGGGTATCATTTGTTTATATGGGGTTTTTATTATACAGGACAAATGGCGGAATCTTTTGAAAGCAAGCCGTATGCAGCTGGGCAATCAAAAGGTAACTGTCCTATGGATTATTTTTGTATAATTTTCTGATACCTATAAATTGTACCTTGATGTCTAACCCTTTTTCTGCTATATATGAAACAGTTAATTTTCAAAATCACAAATGGGCCTCAATCTGTTTGTAGGTAGGCTAATAGTAAATGCAAACTCGTCTGTTTGTAGTTAGGCTAAATCTGAGGGGTACTTCTGCAATTATCCAGATATATTACCACTTTTTTCGGCTGGTGCGGAATCTTCCGCTTTCATTATCTTACCAATCATATCTACTAAATAACACCATATCATGATTTGCTCATGATACTTACGATGAAACAGGACAAAGAGAGAATATAGGTATAAACACTGAGTGCATTTATTGTTGCAAATGCCTTAAACATATTGATTCATATAATTCACGGCATTTTTCGGTTGTGCTTTCATTTCAAAATATCCGAACTAAAATCCACGAAATTTTTTTCACTGCAGGGAGAAACGAAACGCAACATGCCCTGGCGGCCTCTGCCTAAATCCATACTGCGTCGTGTATGTGAGCTGGCAAATCTGTACCCTTATCCTAAAGGCCGTACCAAACACAAGATTGTGAGTATCCATCACGACTCGCCTGAAAAAAACACGGATATGACATTGAGGGACTACAGAAGAATCTTGCGGAGTGTTAATGGAAACTGACAGTTTTTTTAGTTTTCTGTTAATAGCAATGTCTAATGACGAATTTGACTCGTAGTGAAAATGGTGATGCGCTCCTGAATCCGAAGAAGTTTTTTTTTTTTTTTTTTTTTTGTTTCTATTTTTTTATATATATATATTTTGACCTGCTTTCAGTCGGATTTTACCGGATGAATACTGTTGTGGAACATGAATGTATGGACTTATGCAATAATATTTCTGTATTGCTAACATCAGAAACTGTTGTTATTTGTAGAAAGACCAAGATGATGAGATTTATGATATTTCAGGTGGAAATTTTCTTGTGATGGTCTTTGGATTTTTGATCTAGATTTGTAGGGGCTGACAGGAATTTGATGAACTGAAATTCAATAAAAGCACATATATTCTTTTTTGTTCATTTTAATTTAATTTTTGTTCAATGCTTACATGTTATGTGGGATTACTGCTTCCTCTTAGGTTGTGTTTGGTAAGTCAAATAAACTAGCTTATAGCTTAGCTTATAAGCTCTTTGTATTCAAATGAGCCTCATTTGGTAGGACGAACTTTTTTAAAAACTTCGAGCTATTTTTAAAAATCTCGAGCTTATCTCATAAGCTACTTTAGGTAGTTTTTCAAATAAGCTAGTTGAATTTTTTATTTTAGTTAGATTATCAGCTAATTTTATTAAACACTTTTATCATATAAGCTAGCTTTTCAGTTATAAGTCATAAGCTATAAGCTAAAAAATTACAAATAAACTATAAGCTAGCTTATTAGCTAGTTTTACCAAACATAGCCTTAGTACGAGGCCTCCTGCTTACATTCACTTTCAAATATGACTTTACTTTTTATTTATGAAGTTTTTATTTTGATTTCAAATTTATCAACGTGTATAGTTTATATTGGGTTGAATTTTAATTTATTTTTATCATTGATTTTTACTGTATTAATTTTTATTTATGACTAGTTTATAAATAATCATGTACATTTTTATTTTGAATATCATATTTAAATAAAAATTAAAAAGTGTAGTAAATAGGTAAAATATCCATTGGTAAACGTAAAGAAATACTCGAGAAATAAGCCATATATCCCACAGGTAATTACTAATAAGTGCTTATTCATACATGTTTTGTCTTATAATAATATTGCTAACTACGAGCTGAAAGCACCAATTAGTGGCTGTAGTTTAGTGGTGAGAATTCCACGTTGTGGCCGTGGAGACCTGGGCTCGAATCCCAGCAGCCACATTTTCCTTTTTGTTATAGGCTTTTGTATTCCTTCTGCATTCATCAAACATTTCAACGCTTTTTATTTTATTTTATTTTATTTTTTTTTTCCTCAACGATAAAAATTATCACATAATGGCTTATCAATTTTGTTTTCGGTTCTGCACCAAGAAGTTCCAACCGAGGATCTTTGTTTGACTATCCTAATCTTGCATGCTCCACCAAAACTTCATCCTAATAGTTAAGCTAGTACCCAAATAAATAAATAAATAAAGGTCAACACTAAAATCTTTCATTTGAATTAATTTTCAATTGAAATTCTAGTTAAAATTTTATTTTTCCCAGCAACACTTTCAATAGTTAGGTGTATTCAATTAGGATTTCTAAGGACTTTTTAAGATTTTAGAAATCCTGGTGTATTCAATTTAGATTTGTTAAGACTTTTAAAAATCTTGGGGTATTCAATTGAGATTTTAAAAAGTCTTACAAAATTCTGAGGTATTTAATTTATTTGACACTAGGATTTGTTATGACTTTTTAAGATTTGGTGGGATTTCTAAACAAAAAACCTTATACGAAATCCTAGTTGAAATCCTACCTCCAGACTTAAGATTTCATGGAATTTCTCCAAAATCTGGAAATCTTAACAAATCTCAAATCTTAAAAAGTCTTAAAATGTCACTTTAAATCCCAATAGCAATTTCCATTAATATATTCAATACCCGTTGGAATTGTTCTTTTCCCCCATTTCAATCGTTAGTTAGAGAGATAATTGTTGGAAACATTGAAATATCCATTGAATCTATACTTATATAATAAGAATTAACATTTATTCAAAATAGTAGGTCAAATTATGGTCAATGTCGGATTTGCATTAAGTATTTTCCAAAACTGGTAAGTTTTTGTCCTTTTCACACTTCTCATTAATTATGTCCTTTTCACACTCTCATTAATTATGTCCTTTTCACACTTCTCATTAATTATATCATTTTCACACATCTAATTAATTTATTAATTACAACATAATTATCATAAATCATTCCATCTGAGCTTTTATCGTTAAAATGTATAGCAATATGTTATGACCTTATCTCATTGATATTTCCATGAAGCGTCCTTATCGCGTTCTATTTTTTGGTAACCACTCTATATCAATAACCGGATATTTGGTTAATGATAGCACACGTCTTTATTTCAAGGAGCGTATATTTTTTGACATTTAATTTATCTGAACTGATTGCCTTGACTTTTCAATTTTTACAAATTCTTTTTTTAAATATTTCAGCTTAAGATTCGGATTTCATTATACAAGTCATCGGATTGTTTGAATGAAAATAAATGAAAAGAACACCAAAAACAGGTAGCCTTATTCATATAACCAATCCTAAAATATTAGTTTGTTCACCAAAAAGAGACAAATCCTAGAAATCCTAAAATATTAGTTTGTTCACCAATCCTAAAATATTAGTTTGTTCACCAAAAATATTAGTTTGATTTTAGGATTTGTCTCTTTTGAAAATATTAGTTTGTGATAATGAGGAGTTACCAAATAATCAAACTCATAATGTTGTGTACAAGGAGGTTTTTAATAATATATGATTGTTACCGAACTTTTTATGATTCAACAATGTTCCTATGTATTTTAATGATTTCAATTTCGATCCTAATGCACGTGAGGTTATATTATTCTTCCAAATTTTATATCCCGTGCATTGCATGGGTTACGTACTAGTTACTATTAGAATACAAAATTGTATTTATATATACTGTACATGTTGTAGGAATTTGCTGATTGTCTAATAGTGAGCGAGTCCACCTATAATAATAACTCTTGAACAAAAATACATAATTATGTCATTTTTTTCATGACATAACAAAGTATACAATTTGTTGAAAATGTATGTCAGATTTGATGTGTCACTATCATTTAAATACTTCACACATGCTATTAAAGAGACAAATCAGCTAATGCATGTAAACAGCAGTTCTTCTCAATTTTCGTTTCTTGTTTTTGAATCAATTCAAGTTCTATATTGTTAATTGCTTTCATTTTTATTTTTTCTGGTAACACATAAAGAATTTCAAATCGAACACTATTAGGTAACAGAAGATTATTTATTAGCTAATGACAAAGTTCCACAATGAATGATCAATTAAAATAATAAAGTTTTAAGTAAAATAATTAAAACATTAAAAAATAAAAAAACTACCTTTTCAAATTCAGAAAAGCCATTTGAGTTGGATTCTGCTTAAATTATGTATATCTGTTACTCTGTATGTACTAGTTTTTCTTTAAAAAAAAGTAAAAAAATTGAACACCAAGTTCTTTCATTTATTTATTTTTTAACTAAGAATGAATCTATCTTGGATTAATCTAGTAATTACCTCAATCTATATGATGGGTTTGTATGCATCCAAAAGATTAATCGAGTCTGTCAAATTCATTGTAACACTAATGTTGAAGAGGGGTATGTGTATATTAGTTTTTCTATTCAGAAGTGGATTTCTTCTCAAGAGGCTTTATGAGGTGAGTTGAACCTTTTCCCGAGCTGCAATTTTTCGAGAAATTTCGCAGCTTAGCCTACTAGGAAGTTGCATGTGCTATGCAGGTGATTTGTAATTATTTAACGATGAAATTTTAATGAATGATAGAAAACAATACAGGGAAAAATTGCAAATTTAAAATGGGAAATAAATTAATTGGTTCTCATTTTTAATGGTTTTCAACAGTAATATGGTGGTCTTATCATCATCATCATCACTTAACCATGTCATCATCCTCCTTGATAGAACTCTTTCTCAATCTTTTTCTTTTGTTTGCATCCAGTTTCGAGGATGAATTTAAATTAAACCAACATCAGAATACATAGCTTTTTGAAAATTTAAATAGATAGCAGTAGCACTAACAAACCTGCAATAAACCAAAATCGTGATCTGTTTTTATATTCTTTTTCTTTTATTAGTAGAATTCAGAGGTCATATCATCAGAGTATCAGAGGCTTGTCAATGATATGACTGGATTTTAAATTTAGTTTTTTTTAAGTTTTTTTTTTTTCCAAGAAATCACCCATATTCTGTTAATATCATCAATATTCACAAACTACATTCAATCACCATCTAACTCCAAAGCTTTCTACTAGATGTCCAGTTGACACAAAAACACAGTTTGTTCTTTCCATCTGTTTTTTCCCTTTTTCTAGCTACATAAGTACTAAATAAAACTTGCTTCACTTGATCATCTCCTTTCTCACAAGGGCAACCTGTCAAAAGGCGAAGATGCCCAAAAGCTCGAAAATGTCGACTGTAAACCCGGGACATGAGAAGTTAACGGCAGTAAGCTCACGGGCAAAAAAATTCCATCACAAGGAAAAGGCAGCAGTCCAGGTGGCACAATAGGCTGAGGAGGCCACATATGCCTAAAATGTGGAGCCGGACTAACCTGACCACCCACCAAAGTCTGAGGAATATGCAACATTGGGGTTAAACTCGGGCATGGACCCATCAAACTCGGGCCTGGTAAAGGCTGATTGGGCCCAGTAGCAACTAATGATGCCTGAAAATTAGTTGTAGCGAGAGATTGTTCAATCGGCAGGCTGCTAGCTATCTCTGACGAGGCCATTGGGTTTGGAAGAGATTGAAAAGCTTCTGGTTTTGAAGGAAGTGATTCTTGAATCGGGACTTGAGCTTCAGAGGATTTAACAACTTGGCTGGGTCCTGTCACTGGCTTTGATCTGCTCCATTGATCAAATAGCTTATACATCTCGTCGATCGAATAGTTTGACGTAACTAGCAAAAGAATCAAAAGTCAGCGAGCAAGTGATTGTTGGAAAAAGTTTACATAGTCTTATTTTTTCAGAAGATACACTATTCACATAAACTCAATTTCCCAAACACCAACCGACAAATTCCAATCACATCAGAATAAGCCTCTCTAAAATGTCCATCACTGTGTCTATAGACATCGCCTAATCATTCTACATTCAGTCACACTCAAAGTACAATTTCATGTTCTTTAAGCTATTTTTAAAATGCTAATTCCTCCAGAAATAGAAAAGAACCTAAGAATGGTCAAGGATATCACTTATAAAAAGTTTTGTAATTTTTACTTTTTCATAATATGAAACAGATCGCGATTCTAGTTGTGCAAAAGTAAGTTGCTTACACACAGTTCCAACAAAAGTAATAATATGAGCTAATAAAATTGATCACAAATTTGTTCACAAACCTTCAGCAATAGATTGACCAACAAAAGTATCAGTCTGCATGACTGCCTCAGCTAAAGATTTATGGGCTTCTACTTTTTTGCATTTGGCTTCAAGAACTCCTTTCTCTTCCAGTAAAGCCACCTCGGCATTCTGAAGAAGCACATCATATTTTTTACGTATCTCTTCAATCTCCTTCTCGCATGCCATCTTCGATTGCAGTTTCTACAGTTTATTTCAGGATAAGGAAAACATACTTTTGAGCATAAAAATATTGAAAAAGAAAAACAATGGAAAATGGCTACAAGGGGAAAAAGAAATAAAAAATATAGAAACTAACTTTCTCTTCGTGTAGCTTCAAAAGATCATTTTTCTCCTTTTGCAGTACTTCAAGCTCCATCTCGAGTGCTTTACAAACCGATTGTGGTACTATAGCAGTATCATGAGGGTGGCCATCCTTTTGTGTTGTTCTTCGTTCATCAGCAGGTGGCTGTGAGGAGTAGAACAGTCAGAAAACTTTGCCTTCATTTGTTTTTTCTTGTCAAGTGCTCATTTCAGCGTTATACTTTAAGATGATGCATCAGCATAGAGTTATGTAGTGACGTGTATACGGGCGGGAAAAGACATTTTTAATAAAACACTCTTTACCAGAGAATGGTGTTGACTAGGTGGGGCTCTGCCCAACGCTGGAATTTGTAGGTTGACCCATGAGCTTACTTTTCTCCTTTTGATAGTTTCTGCTGAGACGTGTTTTTCAGATGGAAAAAAGGCAAAAAGAGAGAGAAAAGAAAAAATATTGTTGGGAATTCCTTGCACATTTCCAGCATATTAGCCAACTTTCATTTCATAAAAGTGGTGATCCTTGTTCACGACACAAAATATATTTCAAACCTGAAAGCTTTTGCACTTTACCTCGATTTTGAAGCTTAGTCCTAATCTTCCTCTTGATTATTGTTGGGAATTGGTAAAAGGTGTTTCTAGCCTTTCTCCTGCGTTTACCGGGAGCTGGTTTTGTCTGAGCAGATGCTTCCTCTTTCCTGCGTTTTCTGGGAGCTGTTTCTAGCCTCTCGGAGAAGCTGACAGGAACCCAGTACTCCACAATATTAGGTTTGGTAGACTTCGATATATGTGCATTGCAAATTTCAGGTTCCTTTTTCACCTCTGATTTATCCATGTTACATGGGCTTCCCTGTTTCTCACTGTTCTCCTCCTGTTAGTTCATCATATAAGGATTGTCAATAGAAACATTAAAAAAAAGATGGTTCAGGAAAAGTATTTCAAAGAGTCATCATATGAGCCAAAGGCAAAGATATCAAATGCGGATTAAAATCTACTGACACACATGAAAGTGATAAGCAATAGTTGAATAAGAAATGATTATACAAATACATGGGACCAATAAAATTGTTCAATAGAAATTTACTTGAAGGAAGAAATTAGAAAGCACTGATCTATAGCAACATATAGAAGGCCAAGTTCCATAACCAACAAAATTCATTGACCAGCTCATATAACCAACTGGTTGCATTGCACAGTTAAGTTACGAGATTAAAATGCTGAGAAGTCGAGGATGAAGTTCATGAGATAACCAAGAACTTAATCGAATAACTTAAATCAGAAAGAAGATAACCTACCGAATTGTTCTTAGCTTGAGTGAAATTGTTGGTGATATTACTTTCTTTTGCATAATCAGCATCCTTAACCCGTCTCAGCAGAAAATCCAACCTGAAAACACACCTTGTTCTTAAAATATCAGTTTGTCAAAAGGAAACAGGGAAATGAATGGTTCAGAATTTCAAGTGAACAACCACTACCTTTCTTCTTGAGGGTGTGAAACAGAGTTAGCTGTGGTGGCATTTTCACCTTTGTGGAGACTATTTGGTTCTGTAGCCTTTACTTCACTTTGTGACGGCTCACTCCTTTTCTCAATTGAAAGATCTGCAGAACAAGAACGTGAGTATATAAGAAACCAAAAGGAGTCTAACTAATATTTTCTCAACTTTTCCAGAGGAAAAAAAAAAGGCAATCCTATGCTCCACTGACAAATTCTATTCATATCCAATACCATACTTTCGCTTCATTCATTAATGATATATATACTCTTTTAAGTCTTCAAGCCACTCCCAAGAAGTTCAAATACAAAACAAGAGTACAGTTGAAACAGCGCCCCTTCATTAAACATATTCAACTTCATTATATGGCAAAATTGTTATGATTTTAATTTCTTCGAGAGTTACACAGAAAATCAGCCCAGCAACATCTAGAACATCCAGTCACTGCAGAAAGTTCGAATAGAATAGAGACACAAAACACGACATGAAACCCAATAAGCACACAACCACGTCATAATCACAAATGAATGATGATTGCAGATAAAATGAAGAACTTCAAAAAGAATATAACCAATGTTTCAAAAAAAAAAAAAAAAATCACCTGATCCCCTAGCTTTTATCCCCTGGGATTTCAGCCACTGTTTATATCCGTGACCGTTTAATTTCTTCGTTTTTGAGGCACATAGCGCCATACCATTACTACCTTCCTTCTCGTTATGGTCACAATTCCTTATATCCCAAGCCTCAAAAGTGGTCATACTTTCAATTTGTATACTATAAAATGAAACACAATTCCTTATATCCCAAGCCAAATCCTGATAACTCCACGCTATTCACAAAGAAAAATGAAACACAGAGAGTTTGAAAAGGCAAAAGGGAAAGGTTAGAAAGAGACAAACTCGCTTTTTCTGCGTACTCCTCAAGCTTTTTCCCAAACGGAATCTTTTTGTCCTCACTAGTCACTACTATTTGGTGAAGGTAACCAATGAATTTCGCATTTTAGTGAAAAAATAAAAATAAAAAATAAACGCCATTGTTCTTCGTCGCAACTCACTGCTTTATCTCAGGCGTATGTAATTTTCCGTAATGTGCAGAAATTTCAAGTCGGCCATTGACAGCAAGTACACTATTTTGATGATAATTCCATTTTATGCAAACAGCACTATGATTTTCTGTTGCATCGTTTAACATAGTATTGGTTCCCTCACAGATGGTGGGCCCACCATTTATGCAACAACAAAATTTGTTGTGTAGTTATAATAAACAAAAAGTTCGCAAGATAGTTTTTGACTCATTTGAAAATTTATGGATTGAACACTTTGGCCCATTAAATCCTTTTATTTGATAAAAAGTTTATTTTATGTTTTGAACTAAAGATATAATTTTGAAAAAACTTAACATAGAATTATTTTCAAAGATAGAATTTGTAAAGCTTAATATAGAAGCGTTTTAAGAAGAGAATTTGTAAAATAACATTTCAAAATAAAAATTTTATAATAGTTAAATAAATCGTGAGTAAAATCGAGTGGAAACAAAAAAAACGATCAAAACCGTGCAATTTGGTGTGTTCGGTTCAATTTTTTAAATGTTGAAAAAATTTAGTTCGGTTTCGATTCGGTTTGCTCCTACATTGTGCTACGGTGTGGTTATTATTATTATTATTATTATTATTATTATTATTATTTATAATTTCAGTTTTTGGTTTTGTTCGGTTCAGTGTCATTTTGCACCGAACCGCACCAAATTGAATAAAATGTACAGAAAAATCGTGATTAAAACCGAAAACTGAGCCGAACCATGCATTTGGTGTGATTCGGTTTGATTGTTTCAATGTAAAAAAAAATCGTCTCAGTTTCGTTTCGGTTTTTTTCTAAATTGCGGTGTAGTTCGGTTATTTTTTATAGGTTCGATTTTTCGGTTTTCTGTGGTTTAGTGCGATTTTTCACCGAATCGCACTGATGCTCATCCCTACCACTAATAGACGAATAATCTATTATAATGCGCTAATACGATCAGATATACGCTATTTGTAGAATAACATTTCAACATAAAATTTTTGGAATAGTTATACAAAGAGCTATTAAAACCTCTAATACGATCCACTAGTCGATTCAACTATTATAATTCGCTAATACAATCAACTGTCCTTTACGTGTTATCATTTGTTCGCCAAACAAGAATTATGTAAAAAAGTTGCAAAATCCCTCTTTCTATAAGAAAAAGTGTATGCACTTGAGAGCATGACATGTGGCACTTTATTGAATTACAAAATTGCCCTTAATTTTATTTTCTATTCTTTTATTTTAGAATAGTAGGTCGGCTCTGTTGCTTGCGAGGAAAGAATGGAACATGTAAAACAACCATTTTTATCGAAAATTCGCACTGTGTATGAGACTTAGCCGATGTCAATTGTCTCTTGTTCGCACCGTCTAATATTTATTGTTGTTCTTAAGTTATGTGTAGCCATTTGATTCTTATGTATGCAAATATCATTTTTATCGTCGTTTGGATGAGTATTTGTATCAGATTTGGGCCGCTTTTATTGTATCCTTGTGCAATTATTTTGCTCACCCTTGTCAATTTTCGTATATCGAGTACTCGGTTTTGTGAAAACCCGCGCTAAATGATCCTTGGTTAACATGACGATTTTTGCTCAGAAATGAGTTTTTTCTTATTTCTTATTGCCTAATCCTTACAAATGGAAACTACATTAGTTTAAAAACCAAAATCCAAATTCCCCATCCCCTACACAGTTCATAAAACTTTGAAATAAAACTGAATAATTTGAAAAAGAAACTGAAAATAAGTGTTGCAATTTCTCGGAAACCACTGCTCCTGGTCCAGGTTCACGGGCCGTCGCGGCGCAACAACCCTTGTGGCGTGAGGGTGTGATGTAGGAAAGCGTATGAGTGGGAAGGATAACGAGTAAACGAGATACTCTCTCGTAAAACACGCAAGACTCATAATATATAATCTTATTTCATTCAAAAATCAACTGCTCGTCACACAGCAGAAGAATTCATTAAATAAACCCCACAAAGTAAACTTAGCTTATTCTCTAAGCTACTACTAATTATTAAATAATAATAATACTAATATAATAATAATAAAAATAAAAATAATAATAATAATAATAATACTTATATTTATTCTGCATCATTCTCCCCCGGTTGAGTAGGATTCGGTCTCGAATCCGACACATTCCCGTTGGAGACGTTCTCATGCCAGGAATAGTCCGGACGTTTCCCACGATCGAACACGAAGGTTGAAAGTCTTCCAACAACCCCGAAGGTAAATCTAATCTTGGGCAAGGATTGATCTGTTGCAAAGGTACATGTACACGTCTCAATACGCATAACCCACACAATGGAAGTAACACCAAACATGCCACAACGTTCGCCACGCTCAAATCCATAACTACAACCAAACATCCCGGTGTTAGGAGACTTCGGGAACAACAATCGAAAAATGGCCCACCAGTTATGAAGTCTCGGCCTCGGCTCCCAAAAACCATCTTTGGCCAAAATACTCAAAAAATCGGGTGTGAATGACGGCTGCCCATTCGAAGACTCAATCGTTGCAACGTCCCACGCGGGACCCATATTGCGGCAGAAATATGTCTTCGTCACCAGAGGCTCCTCATAAAAAATTGGCGGACTGTCGTACAATGGCCCGTCAATGTGCTCCTCGTCGAATTCGGGGATATCAGTGCCAAATGAGCCCACTCATTGACCAAATTCGCGACCAAAATCCCTATGCATAGTCCCAATTTCTGCAGCTACTTCACAGTCCCAAAAGGCTTTTGGATTGCTTCTTCTCAGGCCCAAAATTAATATCAAATTCGCCTCCTTCACAAGCCCTCTGTATCTGTACCCTACTTCTGTCAAATCCCAAAAAATGTAGCACCTCCGAATCCAGCCTCGTTCTCGCTGCCTCGCCGCGCATCTCGGCCGTCGTCACCTGCAGCAGCGCGCCACCGATCTCGAAAACCAGACCCATAAAAAAACACCACTGTCCAGGTTTGGCTCCGTCGAGCCTCGCAGCCCCCGCTGTCGCGAAAACCTGTCGCGTTCTGCCTCCAATTGCGCTCGTCAGCCGTGGCAAAACCCTCAACGTCCCGGCATGGCTCGCAGCTCAGGGAGTCGCCGCCGTCGACAGCGGTTCGATGCCCCTCCTGCGGCCACCGTCGCGCGCCCCCCTCACCTTCTATAGCCCGACGAGAATCACCATTAAGGGCTCTGCGTGACCCTCCGCCTGTAGCAGTTCGTTGGAAATCGCCGACTAGGGTTGTGCGATTGGCTGAAAATTGGTAATGAAAACCCTCTTCAGGCCCTCGTTGGATGCGAAATCGGACCGCACCTAGGGTGTCCTCGTCGTCGCGATCGCCGCCATGTACGAAACTACCTCCAGTCCGTCGCTTCTCGCGAACTCGGGGCTGACCAGGGGTTTCGTGTCCTCGCCATGGTGGTCGATCTGCAAACGGGATAGCCGACCAGATAAAGTCGCCATCGGTGATGCCGTTCAGAGGTGGCGGGGACCGCTGCCAGGGCGCCCCGACATGGTTGCGTCCCCCACAGCCTCCTCTGTCTCCCCCGCGAAAGCCACGACCCACAGTCCCATCGCGGTTCGTTTGCAATTTCGAAACAACCATGTTGTTAAGCGTCAAATGCAAATCCTCGATCCCCAGCGAAAGATCGGCAAACCAATCCGTGAAAAGCACGTCCAATTGTTCAAATCGGTAGTCAATCTGTTGAAACTGATCGTTGAAGGTTGCGTCACGTCGTTCGTTTGCGGCATCTTGTCGTTCCGGCGGCATCGCGAATTGTACTGACTGCTGATACTAACTGATGTAGGGAAGCGTACGAGTGGGAAGGATAACGAGTAAACGAGATACTCTCTCGTAAAACACGCAAGACTCACAATTTCTAATCTTATTTCATTCAAAAATCAACTGGTCGTCACACAACAGAAGAATTTTTTAAATAAACCCCACAAAGTAAACCTAGCTTATCTCTAAGTTACTACTAATCATTAAATAATAATAATAATAATAATAATAATACTTATATTTATTCTGCATCAGGTGACTTGGGAATCGCAGCGTGGCATGCCTTGCAGCACGACGATTTGTTGGTCCTTAGCTTCACTTGGTTCGTTACAAAACACGCGACGTGTGAAGACCTGAGTATTCTCGCGGCGCGACACGCAGAGACTCTAAAAAAGTAGGGAACATTTGTTAATAGTCCAAAATTCAGGGTTTTCAATGCAAATTCCCCTTCCACGAACTTGCAAAACCTCTCCCCTCCGTTCAACACTGAAAACCTCATTTTCGTGAATTTTCGAAAACCCCATCATTACACGCAGTAACAATGGCTGCCTCCGCCCTCTCCTTAACCCTAACTCCAAAAACTTTCTCCATCCGCCGCTTCTACCCTTCGTCCGCCGCTCTCTTAACTCAATTGTCTCTCAAACCCTTACCGAAACTGGCGCTGGCGCTTTCTCCTACAAGGGGTCACTCAAACCTCAATTTCACGTTCGTGCCAAAGGTTTCGTTGTCACCCCAATTAATGGAAGAGGATGTCGAAGAGGGGGTAGAAGACGAAACCCTCGATTTTTCGGGCCTCGGGCCCGACGAACCCAGCTTTCCGCCCGAGCAGAGACTCTACGTGGGGAACGTGCCTTACAGCGTAGACAGTGCTATGCTTGCTGGGTTGTTTCAGCAAGCCGGGTCCGTTGAGATGGTTGAGGTACAGCACTCGGTTTCGTCTTCTCTGTTTTCGTTGTAAAATTTTTGAAAAGTTTGAAGCTTTGTGCTTGTTGTATTTGGCAAAACTATTGGGAATTTGACCGTGCTTGTTGTATTTGTGTTTGTGTGTGTGTGTGTGTGTGTGTGACTATTCTGCATCACATTGAGTTGGGGGATGATGGGAAATGGGAATGGTCAATTAGGATATCAACAGAACCAGTTTGAATATGTTTATGTTGAAGAAACTCTTTTTTCGCAGGTTATCTTTGACAAGAACTCGGGGAGAAGTAGGGGCTTTGGTTTTGTGACTATGTCCTCGATCGAGGAAGCTGAAGCTGCCGCTCAACAGTTTAATGGATATGTAAAGCTTCATCTTAAATCGTTGAGATTCTAAGATTTGGATGGCCTGTTTGCTATGGATTTCATATTGCTTTTTTCCATTAATCATTTAAGCTTGAACACTATGGTGCTGTCTTACTTCACCAGTTATGTGTCATCTGTATTTAATTATTTATCTGCCGAAGATTTGTGATTCTCTTTGCAGGAATTCGAGGGTCGTGCTCTGAGGGTTAATTCCGGGCCACCGCCTCCTAAGAGAGAAAAATCTCCACCCAGAGCATTTGGGGGTCGTGGGCCAGCTCGTTCAAATGACCTCAACAGACTTTACGTGACTAACCTTTCATGGAATGTTGATAATGTTACTCTCGAGAATTTCTTTAGCAAACAGGGGCAGGTCAAGGATGCTCGGGTGATTTGTGATAGAGAAAGTGGCAGGTCAAAGGGATTCGGGTTTGTTACTTATCATTCGCCTGAGGAGGTCAACCGAGCTGTTGCGGAATTGAATGGTGCAGTAAGTATATATGCCTTGTGATTTTCCGTGAAAGATGGATTTCTAATGCTTGGTTACATACATTCACTTCAATTATTTTTTTTTTTTTTTCATTCTTTGTTTATCTAGCTCGGATTTCTTGGCACAGGACCTTAATGGGAGATCATTACGGGTTAGTATTGCTGAGGCTCGTCCAGTGCGTATGNATATTCCTTGTTTATGTTTTCATTGTGGAATTCAGATGTGGAGGATGCATATATTTTTTTGTGTGTCGAGTAATAATATTATTTTTCTTTGAGATAAATAGGTTAAGAGTTGTAGATTTCTAATCAATAATTTCCTTGATATGATAGGTTATATAAGGGACCGTTTAAGGCACCCCAAAACTAGAGAGCCTAGATTTCTGAGCAGAGTTTTTAAATTTTTTCGTTGAATATAAATACAAAAATGTGCTAAGGTATTATGTCCATTTAGTCTTGCGACGTGCTAGTAAGCACACAAGAAACTAGAATGTTCTTGAAGAAACAGATTCTAATTGTTAGATGTAGTTGGTTGATCGATCACTTAAAAGTGTAGATTTAGCATCTAAAACTTCCAAGAAGCCTAAATCGGTAATATTTACCATTTTTTTTTTTTTAAATAACAGTTTCGTTATAGAAATTTGTTCAGTGCCTATATGTTAAGTTTCACTTGCGTTAGCCTTCGTTGGTTATCAGTTATCACGACTAAATGCTGAGATTTAATTCGTCTCTGATTCCTTTTATTAGGTTTATGGAAAATGCGATCTTTTGCGAATGCACTAAACCTGTGCATGATATGAAGCATTGCCCGTTGAGAAGCTATGAAATTTTCAACTTGTGTTCATACAGGACTTGCAAGTGTATAATATTCGCAAACCTGTGTTTTTTGTCATGTGCCTGAAAATCATAACCCTGTAATCTCCCCTGGCTTTGGATCGATTTCTACAAAATCTTGAACTTTTATTTTAAATGTTTCTATGAGCATGTTAACACCAATGGTTTCGAATTTCTTCGTAACCGAAAGCTATGGCTTGTCCCAGAACTGAATTTCTCATTGGACTCGGTTTAACGACAAATGCTTCCTATAAATTTGGCTTTATATCACAGGGAAACCAAAACAAAAACAAAAAACAAAAAACAAAAAAAGAAAAAACAACAAAAATCTCTACCAATATTTATGGTGTATTTCATCCTAGCCTTATAGGAGTATGCGTGTTTTTTATTTGCCCAAAAACTTTCCTTTATCTACATGTACTTTTCTTTATTCACTATTTTTGTAACTTCAGTCGATCTTGATCATACAAGCATGAGCCGATTCTTTGTTAGGGTAAAAAACATTGTGTGAATCTAATCTTGGCTGCGTTTCGTATTCAAAAACATTGTGAGAATCTAATATTTTGTTCGGTTTGGGTTCAAAATCATTGTGAAAATCTAATCTTACGTCCGGTTCAAGTTCGATAACATTGTGAGGATCTAATCTTACATCCAGTTCGTTTTTAAAAACATTGTGAGAATCTAATTTTACATCGAGTTGGAGTTTAAAAACATTGTGAGAATCAAATCTTACATCGAGTTTAAAAACATTGCGTGAATTTAGGCTTTCAAATTACAAGTATGACCATTATGAGAATCTAGGGTTTGAATATTGTAAGTATGACCATTAGGGAATGGAGTCCACTAAATCTGATTAGCTCCTAATTAATGTGATAATTAGAGTAGCTTGATTTGTGACTAAGGTCTCCATAGACTATCATTAACTTGGTCTATGGTAAATTTGAGTCATATATTTCTGCAGGTGGATTTAATTAAGTATATAAACATCCAAAGGCAGCAAAAAATGTGGCCTAAATGATTTTATATTACAACTTTGTTTCTTTCACTTTTGTTGACTTCAACCCACCAAGGAGGTAAGATTAAGAACCCTCTCATTTTGCCTTCATGTCCTTTTTGTTTCACTTTTTGACACACAATCTTTTTTCTTGAGATTTAATTACACTTAATATTTTTTATCTTTCTAATGTAATTTATCTTTTAGTACTGACGGTAAATTTAGCATGTCCACTGAAAGAAAACTAGCTAATAGTCGATAAGTTACCTATAACATATACGTGAATTTCAAATTTCAAACTAATAGTTTTTATTTAAAACCTAACTAATAATAAAAATACTCGATAAATTAGTTAGAATAAAAATTTTAATGATTTTTTTAAACTCTCATGAAAAACTTATGAGACAAAATCCATCATATCAAATCAATCTATCAACTATAGTAAAGTAAAATCCATAAAGTAAAATTTTAATAAGGTATAAGTTAGCTTACTTAAATTATAACATCCATAAAACAACATAAAATCTTATACTTGGTAAACGAAAAAAAATGGATTTACATTAAAAATTAACCTAACTAACCAAATCTAGACATTATGTCGACTATGATTATCATTGGTTTTTGTGAGATATTTTGATTTCCTTTGTGGGCATAATAATAAAATGATATAAAAATAAATAAATAAATAGATAGGTCGTTATATTCAAATTAAGTGAGCCTCGTGACACTTTTATATGTAGCTTAATTACTGCAATTACGCATCCCTTTTGACCTCTAAACAAAACCAACATGCTTTATCTAATCAATTTCAACAAAACTATGTTCTTTTATTGTGTTGCTTCTTTTCGTTAATTTAAATGATAGATTCACACCAAAATCCTTCATTTGGACCCACACATGTCCAATTTTTTTTTTATTTTTATTTTTATTATTTTTTTATTTTTTTCTGAGAACACATGTCCAACTTACATCCTCACTTTTTAGTTTTTACTGTGACATGAAATAGAGGAGTTTAAATTGCAATATTAGCCTGTACATAAATAACTTGACAAAAAGTATCCCTAAAGATTTTGATTGGATATTGTAGCTTTTATTGGTTTTTTTTTTTTTATTAACTAGAGTTATTTTTATTTTGAAAAAAAATGTTGATTGAGTTAGGTTTGAATGGAATTTTAAATTTGAATTGAAATAATATTTTAAACAAAAATATTGATTTGTATTGAAATAATATTTAAAATAAAAGTATTGATTGGATATAAAATTAAAAGATATATGATTGAAAGTGATTGGTAGTTAAAATTATGTGAGTGAATGCATAGTAAATTAAAGTTAATGTGAGAATGATTATAATATTATTTAATTATATTGAAGAGGTTAAAGTTAAGTTAAATTTGAGTTGCGAATGGAAAAATCCAATCACAACTTATATCCAAGCACTAATAAGTAAATTTGACGTTGATAATCGATAATTATGAGTGATGATTGAAAATGTAGATGGTATAATAAAAGTGTGGTAAAGCCGATAAGTCGGTTAAAACAAAAATTTTAATTTTTTTTTGAACGTTACATAACGAAGTATCTTAATTTTGAGGTAAGTTTGAACATTTTAAAATTTTAAAAAAGACTATAAATTTAATATATGCAACTTACGAAACACTCTTTTAACTTTTGACAGTAAAAACCTCCTGACATAGAAGCCAATTTTGGCCATTTTCATTCTTTTTTCTTCTTAACAACCAAATAACTATAACCCCAAGTCTCATTTCATTTCCAATAGACATAAAAGAATTCGGGTGTAATTAATCCCGAGGTCAATATGGTCAAAACAGAAAGGACATGTTAAAATCATGAGAAGATTTGAAATGGTGTAGTGTGGGCCGGAAAGATGGAACAGAAAAAAAGGGGCCGGAGATAAATTCCTTGTAAAAGCCCGACAAAATCAGCGAATACCAAAACTGCTCTAATGGGCCCCTTATCATCTTTCTAATCAGACCAACAAATTATTCTTTTTTTTTTTTTTCTTTTGGCCTTAAGGGGGAATTTATGTGAGAGGTTTATGATAATGTGAAGGTATTCTTAGATGTCTAAACGAGTCGTTCTGAGCTCGAACTTCTAATCTGAATTAGACTCGAGTCATTTATTGAGCCAACTTCGATATTGACGAGTTGAACTCAAAACCATCTTAATGAGTCGAACCTTAAAGAGTCGAGTATGATTCGATTCACTAGCTAAACGAATTTGATATTGAGTCTTAATAAGTCGAACCGAGTCGAACCGAACTCAAAAGGGANTGTTGCATTTGTAAATTAAATTTTATTTCTTATTAAGGGGACTGTAAATTGGGCTATTAACTGTTTGTCTTCGACGCTTAAGAACTGAGGGGATGCTTGAGCTCTTTTTGTGAGAGTCGGCAAAAATATGGGCCCACTTTTGACTCAGATATGTTTGGAGCTATTTGGGAAATCAATTAATTTAATTTTATGGAAAAGACAAAAAGAAAAAGGAAAAACAAAAACATATGCGGACGACGATATATTCCAAAATTGCATGTGATTGGCGCCGCGTTTAATTTGGCGGAAAATAAATATATAAGAAAGAGAGAAAAAATTAAAGTTAAAGATATGAAAATGAAATCTACGCTCAAAATTTGTCTGTAAGTTAGATATGATTTCGAGTGTTTGGTGTATAGGTATACACGAGTCACCATTATCGAGTCAAGTTTGGACTCCGGCAGTTCTCGAGTCGAGCGAGTTCGACTGATTAATCAAATGATAAATGCTACTCCCTCCTTTTTAAATTAGATGTCGTTTTGACTTTTTTGATTCATCCATTTTGCTACGTATCTAGACATATTGAATTAAAAAAGTCAAAAATCAAAAAAGTCAAAACGACATCTAATTTAAAAAGGAGGGAGTACAAGTATATAATAAATATACATAAAGGTATAAAAAATACTCACATGAAGTGAGGTCCACTAGATTTTATATTTGAAAAATGCTAGAAGTATATAATAAATGTACATAGAAGTGTACATAACACTCACATGGAGTGGGGTCCACTTAATTTTTTATTTTTGGTAAGACCCACTTAATGTGAGTGTTATGTAAACCTCTATGTATAATATTATGTACTTATAGTATTTATCTTTTTTTTTTTTCCCACTTAATGTGAATGTTATGTAAACCTCTCTGTATAGTATTATAAACTTATAGCATTTCTCTTTTTATTTTTTGTAGGACTCACTTAATGTGAGTGTTATGTATACCTCTATGTACACCTCTATGTACATTATTATGTACCTATAACATTTTTTTAATCAAATTAGTTAATAATCTAACCAAATTTAAGTTTTAATAAGAAAAACTATAATAAAATATTAAAATTACATAAATTTATTGTTTTCTTGCCTAGTGAGCCTTCCCGAGCTTTAAACAAGTTTGTGTTTTGCTCGTTAACTAAGCGATCTCAAGTTCAACTCATTTCTTTTAAGAATTTTAGTTTGGTGGCACTTATTTTTCTGGATGTAATTTTAGAAACGAACGCCTAAGATTTAGCAAAAGTATATGCTAATTGTTGAGATCCGAACTGCTACCCCCCTAATCAACCGACACGTGGCGAAAACAATGTGAATATCTGACCTCGAAGATAAAACAACGCAAAATGAACAACTCGACAACGAGATTAATTTCGCAAGGAGGTCGGCTACCCAACAATAGGAACCGCATCAAGATCTTTAGGAGACCGACCTCTGACAACACATTAAATGTAAACAAGACATATATTCATCGTACAATCGATCATTGGATGTGGCACCCGCTCTGCAAAGCTACACGCCTGTTATAATATTTAATTATTATAATGTTGAGTGTAAATGTGGTTTGTCAGAGGCATATGTCATGGTGTATTAAATGTGATAGACAACATCCACAATCAATTGGCAGACGTGAATGTCAATTTATGAGATGTCCCAATTAATCCTCTCTCAACCACTCAAATAATTTGCTGAAGGCGTATGAAGGAAGGAGTCTGCTACTTGCTCCATCTATAAAATAAATTGGATTTCATTCGGCAAAGAAGAACACAAGGAAAAAGAGAAAAAATCACAATAACAGATAAAAGTGAGAGAGATAAAGAAAGGGAAAGAAAATTAGAGAAATAAAAATAATATTTATATTTTTATTCTTATTTTTAGTGCTCAATTCTCGACTCCGTTACAGTTCGCAGGAGCTCGTAAATCTGGTGTGCTACAGATTTAGAGACGTTTGCC